AGCTGTGGGAACATTGCAAGAACGTTGTGGGACACAGTTGTGGAACTTTGTTGAAGTGGAGCATCCATCTTCCCTTTCCAGACTTATTGAAAGCTTTTCCAAAACCTTGAGGCTTGTGAGGTTTCTACAACTAAGGTCCAAAGCCTGGAATTCGTATGCCCCGGCACTTCAAAAATCAAGTGTCAATATCCAAAAATGAAAAATACGCTCAACACTCGACTTAGCGGATCTTTATTGAGGGACATATAAAACCCACGATGTTCACACACACATTTTGTGTCTGGATTGACCTGGCCAGCCCCACCACCTGGAGAAATCGAGATATAATTGGAAATGCTTGTATGGTGTTTGAGTTGTATAATGCACGCGGGGGGTAAAATGCTTTTTTAAATCAATCCTATCATTTCATCACACAACCATGAAAACATCAATATCAAGATGAAACAACATTATAATACGAGAGGAAATATTATCACAGATGTATCAAGGCATCTTACTGTCTATCAGGATAATCATTGTTATAGCACTGTCGCAATTGCTAGCTGTCCATGCACGTAAGCAATTGTATAAAGGAGGAACCATCCAATTCGGATTCCAATCTTGCATCAGATACCTTAATATCAACCCAATCGGGAAGGAAACATATTTTTGTTGTAAGTAAATATTCATTGTTTGCGTCGCAAAAAACTTCTATATTCATTAAAATGCCCAGAAAAATTTTAGATGTAAAACGACCGTTCCTACCAAAATAAAGATAAATAAATATTTATTTAGGCCTTGCCGGAGCCATGCTAAGCAGACCTACTAAACTTATCGGCGGTATTTATACACGGGCATGAAGCGCATGCAAAAGTCGTTGCTCAAGAACGCTTTGGAGTTGTTCAGTGTCCTATTATATATTGGGGATCGGTAATTACTTTGGATTTGATCGCCGGTCCTTACAATTTTGGCATTAAGTAGACAGGCTTGATGGACAATGTGAAGGTGTGCTTGCTAGGTCCACTCCTTAAAAAGGAGAGGTTAAACTAATTAAGAAGCCTTATAACCATCTCTTGCGTCTTTTCACGTCAAGTAGAAAGAAGATATCTGTATCAGGGTGTACAGAGGAAGCAAAAAAAACGACCATACGAGTAACCGCCTTCGCAACCATCTCTCTTCAAAGCTAATAACTTGCCTTACAGAACAATTCCCTCCAAATTCAAATAACCAAAATATATAACTAAATATTCTAAAAACTTAATTTCAAAGAAAAATTAAAAAAACAACAAAAAAATCATATAAATTTCGATGATAAAAATCCAAATAAGTATTTACATTCCGGCCACCAATTAAAATAATACAATAACCTATATTAAAATATTTTAAACAAAAACAAAAAAAATTACGTAATAAATATATAAAACACATATATTTCATCAACAACAAAATTAATAATTCAATTTCAAATTATAATTTTGTTTTACCGAGCAAATTAAAAAACATAAAAAATAAATATAATATCAATAATTCGATTCGAAAAAAATACAAATATAATATTAATTAATAATCCAATTCATCCAAATTCCGATAAAAAACATATCTTTATTAACCTAATAGCTATCCTCCGCATCTATAAAAAATTAATCCTTCCGAAAACATAATTCAAAAATTAATTCCAAAGAAATCAATAAAATATATAAAACATATAAATAGAATAATAAAAAAAACGATTTAAAATTTCCAAAACACCCACCAATATATTCTTTCTTAATCATAAATCAATTCCATCGAATTTTTCGAAAAGATTCTACTTAAAACATAAATAACTACCATATCAATTTCAATATAAAATACAGACCGTTTCGAATACCTATAAAGTATTAATACACAATTTAAGAAAAATATATAATGCATTCACATATTTATATATATTTTTAAAATAAAATAATTATTTCCTTTAATTTAAATATATCGAATATATATTATTATACTACCTAAAAATATCGAATTATCAAAATAAATATATTATATTTTTTAAATTTCCAAAATTATACAACTATTTCGATTCCTTTCCATAGAAAAAATCAAATCGCAAACGTAAAACGAAACAAATATTCATCAAATATACCAAAAATAAATTTTAAAATTTCAATTTATATATATTATATATATACATCTATCTATCAATTAATTTCTATATATTACAATATATTAAAGCATCTAACAAAAAATCGAATAATAATCATCTTTCAAACACTAAATTATATTTTTACTAATGAAATCATAACCAAAAGACAATAAACGACGCATAAAACAAAAAACACAACTAATCAAACGCAAACAAAGTGCATCAAACAAGAATGCGACAGAAATATATGCAATACAATGCATCGCAAACGTAACCATTCTTTAAACAAAAGGAAAAATACAAAGAAGACCATAAAAATATATATAACTCATCGCAAACAACAAAAAACAAACGCGAAGAAGAACGCAAAAAAAATAAAACGAACACAAAAGAACAACAAAAAGCACGAAAGATACGAAATAATCAAAAAATCACAAAAAATAGAAAACCAACAAAAAGACAAAAATAATATTAAAAAACACACAAAAGAAGGCCAAAAGAAAGACAAGAAAAACACAAGAACAAAACAAGAGGAAAAACAGAAAGCAAAATGAAAAAAACAACAAAACATAAACAAAAACGAAACGAAAACAAAAACAAGAGGGAAAAAAAGACAAGATAACCCCACATATTGAGCTTGTAAAAACTATCAGCGAGAAGTGGAGGTTGATGAGAAAAGCGGACGGAAAGATATTGGACGATAAAAGTGAAAGAAATGAGTGGCGTGTGATGAGTGGTGCGTGATGCGGGGTGTAAGATGAGTGGTATATGATGACTGGTGCGTCATGAGTGGTGTGAGATGAGTGGCGTCAAATGAATGGTGTATGATGAGTGGTGTGTGACGAGATGAGTGATGTGTGATGAGTGGTGTAAGATGAGTGGCATGTGCTGAGTGGTGTGTGACATCAGCGTGGTGTGTGATATCAATCAGCGTGGTGTATGATGAGTGGTGTGTGATGAATGGTGTAAATGAGTGGTGTGTGATGAGTGGTGTGTGATGAGCGGTGTGTGACGAGTGTTGTGTGATGAGTGGTGTGTGATGAGTGGTGTGTGATGAGTAGTGTAAGATGAGCGGTGTGAGATAAGTGGTGAGATGAGTGGTGTGAGATGAGTGGTGTGTGATGAGTGGTGTGTGGTGTGAGATGAGTGGTGTGTGATGAGCGGTGTGTGATGAGTGGTGTGTGATGAGTGTGTGCTGAGTGGTGTAAGATGAGTGGTGCGTGATGAGCGTAAGATGAGTGGCTGCTCCGGGAGGCTCTGTGCACTGCGCCTGCCACGAAATCTACACGACAGGCACCCGCGGGCCAGCGGTGACCACGCGCTCCGCAGCTGGTCCGGGAGGCTCTGTGTACCGCGCCTGCCACGAAATCTGCGCTCCAGGCTCACCAAGTTCTGTGCCTGCCACGAAATCTACACTCCAGGTTCACCAAGTGCTGTGCCTGCCACGTAATCTACACCCCAGGCTCACCAAGTGCTGCGCCTGCCACATAATCTACTCTCGAGGTTCACCAACTACTGTGCCTGCCACGAAATCTACACTCCAGGTTCACCAAGTGCTGTGCCTGCCACGAAATCTGCGTGACAGGCACCCGCGGGCCAGCGGCGACCACGCGCGCCGCAGCTGATCCAGGAGGCTCTGTGTACTGCGCCTGCCACGAAATCTACACGCTAGGTGGTGTGAGTTGAGTGGTGTAAGATGGATGGTGTGAGTTGAGTGGTGTACAATGGGTGGTGTGAGATAGGTGGTGTAAGAGGATGCTATGAGTTGAGTGGTGTAAAATGAGTGGTATAAGATGAGTGGTGTAAGATGGGTGGTGTGAGACAAGTGGTGTAAGATAGGTTGCGTGAGTTGAGTAGTGTAAGATAAGCGTGGTGTAAGATGAGTGGTGTCAGAGAGGTGGTGTGAGATGAGTAGTATGAGGTGGGTGGTGTAAGATGGGTGGTGTAAGCTAGGTTGTGTAAGATGCGTGGCGTCGGCGGAGGCAGAGCGAAAACAAGAACCCCACACAGTGATATGGGGAAAAGAGAAAAGAGGAGGACAAGAGAAGGAGAACGGGAGGATAAGAGCAGGACAAAAGGAAGACGATAGAAGGACAAAAGGAAGACGCAGCCAGCCAATGTGGCCAACTATTCTTCCAAAAAGAGAACCCCAACAGTAAACCGTTTGGGGAACGATTAAATACTAATTGATTAATTGCTTAAACGACCGAAATAAATTACGCCGAAAACGCGGTAGTAGGCCAACCCCTTCCAAACCAAATCGCGACGTGCGCGAGCATCTCTACGAAGCCTATACGGGGTTTGCCCGCCTCCCGTCACGCTTGTCTATAATTGCATAGATAACAATACGCGCGCGGGCCCGTATATAATGCCCACGGAAGTCTAGCTCAGCAGGGCGCGTTGCCTAAACAGATTAGCTCAACAACTTCACAATTTCAAGTTCAACCCTCAAGAATGCAAGGCTGCCTTCACAAAGCTAACACCGCGCAACAAATCCTTCAATGAATGTGTAATCCACCACCATATTTCTCGATTTCATCATTTTCCTCAAAAGGTGCTTCCTGAAACTTCTTAACTACCGCTCCACACAGCCACCAAGCAAATCAACTAAAGAAACATCCATAGTGCATTGTTCTTTCCATCATGCATTACAGGATCGGCAACTCACAACTACGCAACCCTGCGCGAGACACTGCTATTCGCAGTTGCCCGCGCAAACTCCCCCCCCAAGTACACCCATACAAACCATTTGAAGAGCGGCTACCACTGTATGTATTCTTGCAGGTTTATGTTTTGAGCTTTTAAGATTGTTCTTCGTGCCTGTCTTTTCGCTTCGCTGCTGGGCTTTCATTTTCACGGTGTTTCGGAAAATTTCAACTCAAATGCCCTTGCCCTCAAGAAAGCTTTTCCAAAATCAAGCGCAAGTCTTTTTCTCAATATTGCACTGTTGGTTGGTTTTACTTTTAGTAAAGTTATGTTAGTTATAAGTCATGGTTGGCCTTGCGTTGGGCTAGCCCAGCTTTACAATAAATTGCAAATGAAACATCAGACCATCAAACCACTACTACTCCAAGAAAACATCACCCAATATGCCTCAACGCTGCAGGTTCTCTCACCTGACAACAATTCATTCGCTTTGTTCATGAAAGCCTGAACGGGGCCAGAGCAGCCACATGTCATCACACCGACCGGAAGAAGCAAATTCCCATCTACTCTCTCGGAACATTCCCACCACCCATCCACAAAGAACAGCGCCAAGAGTTTTCGTCTCGACACCTAGGCTATTTTGTTCAAGACCAATCTTGAAGCTGTGCTTTGAACGCAATCGATCCATCAGGATCGCAGCTCCAATCGAATTCGGTGCAAACACGCTGACCTTGCGGCAAGTGGCCTGCGAAATCGAAGTGTCACGACTCAGGATGGGCAATCAATTCAATTCCAATCTTTGTTAACGAAAGAATTTTTCGCAGCTTTCAATTCAAGCCAAATGCCAGGGTCCTAGAGGGCATGACATGTGCAAATTATGTCTAACATGGTCCAACCTGTTGCTGAATCTGAGCTCCCCACCATGAAGCCATCTGGGTTACAATGGGGAAGGCCTCTCAATTGTGGATCCTTGGCCACTGTAGTTTGTTTTGAAATTGATTTGAAAACACAAGAGCCCCTCTATGTTTTCTGATAGTTCCGAAGAACCATTGCAGTCACGAGTGAGTAGCTCTTAGGGAACGTCCCAGCAAATGGACAATGCTTGATTCTGGGAACTTAGACCCTGACTCACAAGATGCTCTACCAACCCTAAGCTTTCCTATCAAACCGAGTCCAAACATCGCAAAACATCTGTTCAATATGGTTCATTTTAGGAGCTGAAGATGGAGGGTTCAGTTCAAACATCAAATATCTTCATTTCACGCAAAGCCTTCAAACGCTGATGGATATTTGTGGTGGGCACATCTTTTTCTCTGAAATGCATTGCTTGCATCTGTGCGCTGCCCCTTTCAACAGCTCGGGCCCGGTATGCAGTAAATACTGATGAGTCAGAACCGCCTTGCAAAGACTTTTGCTCAATAGTTGTTTACACTCTTTCTGCCTTCAATAGAAGGCGTGTTGTTGGGATCGGAGAGGGTTGATGGGGGAATGTTGGAAGGCAGGGATGGGCAGCCTGTGACTTAGCTGCAGAAAGATATGGCAAAGGAACCAGCAATCTCTCAAACTTTCATTCCTCTTAGGTCTGAGGAAAATCGGTCAAAACATGAACAACTGTGCAATAATTTAAGGACCCTCACTCCTTGGAACCTTCACTTGGAACGCTTTCCTTGAAACCTTCAATCGCTGGAGCCTTCACTTGGAAGAACCCTTACTTGGAACCCTTACACCTGGGAACCTTGCGGAACCCTGCGGGACAACTCCACCTTTGCCAACCCTGTCCTCTTGATCGTCATTTTCACCTCTTGCAAATCGTCGAACTTCCTTGCCTGTAGCGACGCAGCGGTGCAGCAGTCTGAAGGAGTTCGTTGTTTGTGGCAACACATGGTCCATCTAAAGCGCAATATGCACATGGAAAATCTCTCGACCCCCATTATGTTGACGTCGCCTTATATTAAAACCCACAATTTTTGAGAAAGAAAGGGCCCTGAGCAAGATGATTCCAAATATTGTGGAAAGGGGCCCGGCACCAAAACGCATGAAATCCACAGCAAAAAAAATGCACCACCCTAAACCCCAAACATGTGCACAACAAGAAGGGAAACAAGAAGGGAGACAAAAGGAACCAGAAGGGAGACAACACGGACACAATGACCAACAAGAAGGAGACAAGAAGGGAGGCAAAAGGAATCAGAAGGGAAGCAAGACGGACACGATGACCAACAAAAATGGAGACAAAAAGGAAACAGAAGGGAGACAAGACGGACACAATGACCAACAAGAAGGGAGACAAAAGGAAACAAAGGGAGCTTAGTTGTCTTCTTCCTCTTCACCTCAGCCAGTGGAGGTTTGCCTCTATCCCACCAGGGTTGCGGGGCCCGCAGACTCAGCGCGTTCCCACCACTCAGTCACATGCGTGTGTGTCAGCGGTCTGCGTGCCACGAAAACTAGACAACATGGCGCCAGCGCTCCAAATGCCTCGAAGCCAGCAATCAGGCACAGAGATAGCTTTGAGCTGAAGGTGGCTGCGGGCCAGTTCTACACTATTGGGGCGGGTTTAGTAGGGTGCGTTTGCATCGATTCTTTGTGGTCTTGAGCAAAATTTGGCGCATGAAACTGTTGAAGAATTTGTGTGACTGTCAATGCTCCTTTTTCACCCTCTTCACTGAATGACAATTTCAAGTGGCCCACAAAGCCCATTGCCACGCGAAATCTGATCTGATCAACTGGGGCATGGGCGCGCGCTGTTGAATCAACAAAACGTTGACGCTCGCGCGCCAAACTACTGCTGGCAAAGAAATCTTCTCTCTGCTAGGACCATGGCACATGTCTCAAGGGCAACAATTGCCATCCACTTTCTGCTTCCGCAATAAGCCAACAACGTTCCCCAAGCAGATGCATTCGGGCTCCCGTGCATCCACCAGCGGCAACAAGCCATAGAAGACATCAGCCGTAGTGCTGCCCTGGCCTGGTTCGAAGCGTGGTTGCTTCTGCAATCGACGCAAGGAACCCCACAAACCAGCAAGTCAACGCAGTCGACGCAGGCATGCTGCTGCTCCATGAAGTCCCAGCATGGACCTGGCAGGTCACTGGTATCACCAAATAAGTGCCTCAAAGGTGGTCTTTTCTGTGGCCGTTGCTGCAGAAGCGAACGCTTGGTTGCATCCCGCTCAGCGGCGATATAATGCGCTTCAGGCGCAGCAGCCACGCTGGCCACTTCGTCAAGCACCCGTGCGCATGGTCAGAACAAGTAGCGCAAAAATTGACCAACCAACAATGAACAAACATCAGGCGTGGCGTGGCTGCTCATTCCGGATTCTCAATTGGCTGGGCAAAGCTTACTGTCCTGCGAGCGAGGATCTGGCAACAAAGCTGCAAGCGCCATGCAAAATATCAAAGCCTGCGCAAAGGAAAGCAGCCCTCCATTCATGGCGCTCGCAAAACTTCTGGAGTTCCACGCCGTGTGAGCGCCAAGTGGCGACGAAGTGCTGCTTCACTGTCACGCGAAGGGAAAAGCCATCGGCCACATCCGGAGCAAGCTCCATGCTCAAGCAAGCGCACTGCCCTGCCTTTGGCCACTGGCTCCCCAATGCATTTTGGGCAAGTGCTTCACGCGCAGGGCCAAGTTCTTTAAAAGAAACGCTTCCAAAACATTACGCACGTTGTGTTTAAGCGCCACCACTTTCAACGATGGCCTATGAAGCGAGAACGGTAAGCTGCTGCAGAAGAGCTTGCCACACGCTTGCAGCAGGGAAATATACACCGCAGCAGTGAAACAAGAATCAAGTAGCGGGTGCAGAGGCGCTCTCAATCACTTCCTCAATGCTTGGGGCTTTGCCCGCCATTCAGATCAGTGATTGAGAGTGAGCCCTGCAACCTGAGGCCAGGAAACAAGCCCCATGGTCACCAGAAGCAACCTGAAACTTATTGCAAAGTAATTTATCAAAAGCCTCCAGACAGCAACCAAGCAACAGTTAAACTTGTTTGCTCCTCTCATGTCCTGTGCTCTCACGCGCCTCGACCGCCGCATGTTTTGAACTTGGGGTGCTCCATGGGCGC